CTTCAATCTTAACGCTGTCAGCTAGACACTAGAAACACAGTGGGGGCAAGATGAGGCCTCTGCCTCCAAAGAGTTGCGGGTGTAGCAACCCACCTTCTTCCCAAGGGGAAGAAAGTTTAAGAAATTGGCAACACTGACTTAGTGCAAATTTAGGCACAATAGGATTGCTGCCCCCGCAAAATTTGAAGGACTCTCCTATGACTTACCTTTTTCTTCTGGTTTTGAACTATGTTATTTTATGTGAACCTTTATTGGAAGAGACCTCAAGCTCCTTTTGGATTTAACTAAATGAGAAATGAGTCCATATAGCAACATAGCAGAGCAGTTAAATGCAGGGATATGGGAGTCAGCTGACCTGGTTTCAAATCCAGGCTTGGCTATTGGCTACAATGTTAGATTATTTTAGATTCCTGAGACTTTGAGCAACTTACTTGGCATCTCCTTGCTTCAGTCTTCTCTTCTTTAAAATGAGAACATCAATGTTTTGTGAAGACTAAATGGCATGATGCATGTAAAGCACTTAGTCCAGGAACTAGCAATGGTAGCTAGTGATCATTAAGTATAAGCATACTTGGGATCCCTGGGTGGCTCAGCGGTTTAGTGCCTGCCTTCCACCCAGAGCGTGATCCTGGAGTCCCAGGATTGAGTCCCACATCAGGCTCCCTGCATGGAGCCTGCTTCTCCCTCTGCCTGTGTCTCTGCCTCTCTCTCTCTCTCTCTCTCTCTCTCTCTCTCTGTCTCTCATGAATAAATAAATAAAATCTTTAAAAATATATATAAGCATACTTGAAAATATACATATATATAGAAACATTAAATAATGTAAGCCTACTTGAAGACATATTACGTAAAAAAGGATATCATGATACCAGTGAGTTGAACTGTGATTTTATTTTCATCACTTCTAGAAACAAAGTCTGGGTTTCTAAGATGGAAATTTCTACTCATTAGTTTAAAGAATAAGTTTCTAACATCTAAAGTATTTTAAGGGGCGCCTGGGTGGCTCAGCGGTTGAGTGTCTGCCTTCAACTCAGGGCGTGATCCTGGGGTCCTGGGATTGAGTCCCACATCAGGTTCCCTACATGGAGCCTCCTTCTCCCTCTGCCTATGTCTCTGCTTCTCTGTGTCTCTCATGAATAAATAAATCTTTAAAAATAAAAAATAAAAATAAATAAAATATTTTAAAATGCGTAAAATTAAAAACTGCAACAACGCAAGCATAAATTCTCTGTTGTTACAAATGGATAAGCAGCATGATCTCTCCATCATGGCTGTCACTGGGAGGCAGTTGAGCTACTTGTCCATAAATTCCCTTCCTACCACAAGACTCTGAATTTGAATTAAAATATACTGTAGGATGAGAACACAAAAAAAATCATGTAGCCCCAGGATGGCCCCTCAGCTTGACTTCAGAAGACTAGATCAGAAGAATGGAGGGCAGTTTTCTGAAGCACAGCAAAGATAAGAGATTCCTGGACCTGAGAAGACTCAGATGGCCAGAGGCCAAAACATAGGGTGCTGGATTATTCTGCTGGGCTCCTGGAAACCAAATGCAAATCTAATTAGCAATCAATCAATATTTATTGTTATCCAGGATTATGAAAAGCTCCAGACACGGTACCAGAAATACGACTGAGCCATGGGAAGAGGCTGAGAAATCATTAAGGATGACAAGGATCACGAACCTTACTTTTTCTCTCGGGAGCTGAGCTGTGTCCCCTGAAGCACAGGTCAGAGGTCAGTGTCTTCAGCTACAAGCTCCCAGGCCTGGGTCTCGCTTGAAGATACCATTCCTCAGTCCCTGTCTTTCATAGTGAGGTACATGCTCTGAAAACCTACAGGATTTAATTCTGGAGACTTGATACATAAGGCTGGTGGTGATCTTCCCAAATATGGATTCTTTACGGAATATTCCCCCAGAAGAGTGATAGACAGACAGTAAGGAGTAATCGAGGAGCCCCCAGATGGAATATTTTTAAAATTTGCATTTGAGCTCCTAGAAGAGAGGTACATCATGGCCAAATAAATGTGAACATCTGAAAAATACCTGCCCTTATCAGATAATTTTCAAATAAATTGTTACCTTTAAAGCTACTCCCTGGTTCCTTACAGATGAGTGTTAACTTCTGTTCCCCATCAAAAGCTTTTTTATGCATTTAGTTCCAAGTTGTCATGCTGCCTACAAAATCTGCAATGAAGCAATTAGAAGCCATAGAGTAAACAAAATGTGTTCAGTAGAATGGCAGGCTGAGGAAGCAGATCAGAAATATTCACACACTGTCAGGGTGTTCTCTGGCTTTTTCTCTGTTTTATTCATTTATACTAATGTGTGGACAAGAGGGTTGAAAACATTTTGCTAAGAATGAAACCCTGAGATTTATATGTAATTCCTAAGCTTATCCTTGGGAAAGAAGCCACAATCTGTTTTCAGACAAGACTAAAACACTTGCAATTCCCTTTGAAAAACAACATCCAATCTTCCCTTAAATTGAGATGCCAGAGCAACTAGATTGCGATTTAAATCAGAGAACAAAATTAGTCCAGGTACACCAGGGTGAAAGGAGAAGCAGAGCAGACACTGGTAAATAGCCTATGAATTCAAAATGTAGAGTCTTCCCCCCTCTGCCCCCAGCCAATTCTGACTTCCAACAAATTAGAGAAATAAATTGGCAGTTCACCTACGATTTGCTGGTAAACAAACATTTTTCACCAGCCACTTCATGACTGTCTTTTTTGCTGTGCCTTTTTAAATTCCATAAAAAAAAAAAAAAACTGGGATGGAACGATAACTCTCAGAGTTCACAATATAATCGCTGGCAGGGCTCTAATGAAAAACAAAATCTCCACCTCATTCCAACAATTTGCCATAGTAACAGAAGCCTTCCTATTCTGAATATTAGCATGGCCAGAGGGGGAGCTGGAACCTCAGTGAGGGGCTGGGGCTGGCAACAGCAGCTAAAATATTGCATCTCCTGGTTAAAGTCAATGAGCCTGGGGTTTCAAGTTAGTTCTAGAAGCACAAACAGGGACCAATATCAAGGATGGCCTTGGCCGAACACCTTCAAGAGCCGCAGAAATGAACCGACCATCCTAGGGCATAGAGGCTCGGCCTGCTAGGATTTCCTTGTGCTCTGGGTCAAGAGATCCATTTGTTAGTTCTTCTTACAAACTGGAATAAAGGCCTGGCCTCCATCTTCCCACCAAACTCAGTACACCTGCGGAGAATCAAAACCCCAGATACATCGTCCCTCTTCTCTTTGGGTTCTGTAATCAGCAGAGACCTCTGCTGGCAAAGAATGGCGGGGGCAAGGGAGGGAATGCATTCTGATTGGAAGTTTCTATTCCACAGAGGTGCCTTGATCTCTGCAGAAGTGTCCTGCTGGCAGGTTGGCTGGAATCAGACAACTACTACGGCAAGGGCATTTCAGGACTCAGCCCAAGGTGGCATCTCTTTGGTCCAAAAGTTTGCCATCAGTAGAGCACACAATCTGCCTAGCAGGCTTCATCGGCCCCCACCCTCCCCTGAGAAAGGCACTGGTCTCAGGTGAGGGGATGTAGCCAGACAGGACAGAGCCTTCTACAAAATAATTCTTGCAAAGATTCAGGTAGGGATGAAGGGTTGGGGATGGGGGGAAGAGAGGCCAGAGGTGATTTGCATTAATCTAACATCCTACCATTAAATTCTGCCCAAGTGGGCTTTTGTCAAAACTCATTCCAAACACTGGGAAGCGATAATCAACTGGAAGCAAAGTGGTTCCCCATCTTTTTTTCATGGAGGAGGTAGGTCGGGAGGTGGGAGGTGGAGTTCTGAAAGATACAGCAGATCTCAAATGTGCTGATCTAACAATATCGGTGACATCTCACCCCAGATGGCAAATGAAGGAGACACTGGGATTTAAGGCACCTACACACTTGCCAGCAGATCATGAAGACATAAGGAAAAAACAAACAAACAAGGATCCTTAAATTCATCGCATGGTTTTACAAGAAACATAGGTGTAAAAGCAATCTAAAGAACGATTTTAAGAATAATGTGCATCTAAAACCTCAGAATAATAAGAATTTCCCAAGGCAGAGAAGGGGAATGCTGACAAAATTCAAATCTGTTCAGAGACTTTATTCCAGGGCACGAGGCTGAGTTCCTGCAATGTACACAAGTGGGGTGTAAAGTCAATGGGATTACATTTTCCTAATTATCTTCTGCTTGAGCTTTCCAGCACATACACAAAATGAGATCAGCCGGGACTTGCCTCTCTAACAAATCACTCAGATTTAAACATCGCTCACATAAACAAAGCGGGGTGGGGTGGGAGAGAGGGAGGCACAAGGCTGGGAAAAGACAGAGAAGGGCTTCTTCAATCACAGTTGCAAGGAACAAAAACCTGGAGGGGGGAAAGAGTTGCTGGACCGCCACCAAATCTCCCCCACTGGAGACAAGAGCCCATCTGCTGAGCTCGGCAACTTCGCTTTAACTACCATTCAGCTCGCGTCTCTGCAGAGATCTGTCTGCAGAACTAGCAGATGGACCCCTGCTTCCCCGAGTCGCTGTGTTATTTGTTTAATAAATTTAATTAATATCCATACTGCATTGGATTGCTCCCAGAAAAGGGGCCGAAGTGCTCTCTTTCCCCAATAGCTACATGATGAGTGATTTCCCAGAAAAGAGCAGATAACGGTGCCCCAGGGCCACCGAGAAATTAAAAGTACCCTGTGCTTACATTATTTCCCATGTATTAATTTTTTGCAGTACACTAATATACTTTTTTGAGAGGTATTTTAACTCTCTGAAAGTATGTAATTCCAAAAAAAAAATGCAATCTGAAGATTACCTCTTCTCTCAGAGGTTCGATTTGTTGGAATGGTTTTAGAAGAATCCAATTTAACCATATAAGCAACACTTTCATCTGTTTCCCCCAAATGAAGCATCGTGAATGGTAGGGGGGTTTCTTTTGGCAAACAGCTAGCTCCAGGACCATTGTGAACAAATTGAAAAACCTCACCGGTCATGTTGAACTTGTATTATTTCCTAAGCTGAACCATGTGGCCACTGCAAATACAGAGAATAGAAAGGGTCTTGGACAAAATCGAGGCAGTACATGCTTCCTCTTCATTAAGTGGAGTGCCAAGCTGCTCGGTGACAGAGTCCCTGCAATCAACAAGTATGAATTAAAGCAGTGTTTTACTTGCCTTTTTATCCAATGTCATCCTGTCCTTCTGTGCAGCCTATTTTATCTTAACCTAGATTTCCCACAGTGTGTTCCAAGAAAGAATAGTCCCTAAGGATATAGGAAACATTGTACCAGAGAAGGTTACACAGGTTTCTTCACTGCAGGACTTCTCAGAGCCTTTAATGTGCTAACAGGCATTGTGAATATTTTTGCAGAGGGGTGATGGGGTTCAATATAAAAGGCAGTATTTCCCAAAACGCAGGCATGCATGGCTCACCACCATATCCCAGGGCTTAATGCAGGGCCTGGCAAATAGCAGGTACCCATTAATATTTGTCAAATGAAATCGATCAGTGGATAAATGAATGAAGGAGCAAAGACATGAACCCCCAATGGTTTTGCTTAGGGATAATCCTTGGATACTCGAACATGACCACAGATAAGATTTTATTTAAAAACAAACAAACAAACAAAATCACTTTCACACTAAAGAAGAATCGAAGGGACTTGAATCAATTGCCAACTTTGTTGAGTTTCACTTTCAAAGGTGCTATTTCCTTATATTAGCTTTATTTTGCATTTTGAACTCTTCTTCACTAAACAATCAACCCTGTTCCTTTACATGTCGTGAAAACCTGATCTTGGAGAATTTTGTACACTTCTCAGCTCCTTGGAAATACCATAATTTTGTCTTTGATATGTTTAATACCTTCCTGGAAAGTGAGTAATGAATTCAATTCAATCATAGGCATTGAGGGATCCCTGGGTGGCACAGCGGTTTAGCTCCTGCCTTTGGCCCAGGGCGCGATCCTGGAGACCCGGGATCGAATCTCAAGTCGGGCTCCCGGTGCATGGAGCCTGCTTCTCCCTCTGCCTATGTCTCTGCCCCTCTCTCTCTCTGTGTGTGTGACTATCATAAATAAATAAAAATTAAAAACATTAAAAAAAATCACAGGCATTGAGCAGAGATGAAGAATTACTCTTTTCAAATGAGTTATTTTAAATGCAACAGCTTACGAAGGCAGAATTATTTTGAGAACTTGTTGATAATCAGAATGTTAAATGTACTAAATCGAAATTAAAGTTTTATCTAATAGGAAAGATTAAAATTTATTGTCGTGTAGGTTAACTTTTGTTAACCCTTGTGCATTCTGTGTAAAACAACCCGCGACTGTTCATTTTCCTTACGTAATTTCCCTACAATATTCCATCCTGTTGATATAGCACTGAGTCCACTTGTCTTTCTCCCACGATTTCAGACAACTACAGTCCTTCCTGCTAACCTGATACTCATAGAAAATACACAAAATGGCATTCAATCATACATATCCAGAATAACGACACGATAAATACCTCCCCTCTAGCTCAGCTGGCTCCTAATTTCTAAGCTTAAGAAAAAAATATTTTACCTGGTGATTTCAAGCTACTGATTGCAGTTTTATATTGAAAGCTCTCAGAAGGCTATGCTAACAATAAAACCTTTAGGAATAAAAGGAGAAAGTAGAGAGGCTTTAGACAAACAGTGTCTTTTTAAGATTTCCTGTATCAAAATATTTCTTGAATTGGAGAATAAATTAATCAATAAATAGAACTCAAAAAATATATGCTAGATTTTAGGAAGTAGACAAAAAACAGAAAGGGCAGGAAATTGGTATTTAATGCATGTCTACTATGTGCCAGCCATGGTGTTCAGTACTTGTAATAATAATAAAAATAACCAACGGCTATCACCCAGGTATATGACAAATACCCTGGTAAATCTTTATATGGATTTCTGCTCCTCCCAGTAGATAACATTATAATCTTAAAGTTGAGGAAACCGGAGCTCAGATATGTTAAGCAATATGCCAAAGGTCACAAGACTGGAAAGTAAAATGGGGGAGCTCAGATTCAAGCCCTGCCCATCTGACTCCAGCCAGGGTCCATGCTCCCAACCACTATGCTTTCCCACCTCCTATGTCCTACCTTATTTCAGAGGCTATATACAGTAATACTGGGATTCTCTCAGTCCCTGCAGAATGGAAAAGAACATGATGAAAATATTTTGCATTAACAAAATATGGCAGTGGCAGGAAACTGTTAGCACTGACGTGTGTAAAGACTATCCTTGAACGTAAATCTGTTAACCTCGTCAAAATCCCAAGTCTATCTAAACTGGTTTAGCTGTCTTTTCCACTACCAGATTTTCTGGCCCATGTTTCAATGTGACTGTCTCATGCAGGTATCACTTTTTTAAAAAATTTTTTAAAAGATTTTATTTATTTATTCATGAGAGACATGTGGGACTCTGTCCCAGGACCCAGGGATCACGACCTGAGACAAAGGCAGATGCTCAACCACTGAGCCACTCAGGTGCCCTGTAGGTATCACTTTTAATATTCGACCTAATGTGACTTGCTATAATTGTTTATATCCCCCTCCACTCCCTCTTCACTTTAGGAGCAGCAATTAATACAGAAATGTGTACTTAACATTAAAACTCAGATGAACAATAACATAAGTAGCCCTCTAGAATTGTCTGCTTTCTCTCCCAAAGACCTCATTTTCCTTCAAGGGAATAGGAGAAATTAATTCCTGGAATAATTTAACAAATATTTTGGTTGTCTATCACTTATAAATATCAATAAGCATGTATTGGGCACTTCCCAAGTGCTCTCTGCCACTAGATGCTGGATAGGATACACTGTTGTCTCTATTTCACACAGATAATGGATTCGTTATGTATTGCATCATGACAATTGATCCCAAAACTTTTCAGCTTAAAACAACAAATATTTATTACCTCACTGTTTCTGCGGGTAGGGAATCTGGGTACAATTCAGTTGCTTGATTCTATCTAGCTCTAGCTCAAGATCTCTCCAGAAGCTGCACCCAAACTGTCAACTGGGTCTGCAGCCTCATCTGAAGACTCAGTCAAGTGGGGAAGGATCCACTTCCACACTCATTCACCTGGCTGTTGGCAGGATCAAGCTCCTAGAGAGCTGTTAGGCTGAAGGCTTCAGTTCCTTCTTGGCTATGAGCCAAAACCCTCCTTCAGTTCTTTGCTACATGGGTCTCTCCACAGGGCAGCTCATCCTGTAGCAGCCAGCTTCCCTCGGAGACAGAAAATGACAGGGGGGAGAGAGAGAGAAGCTGTAGTATTTATGTCACCTGATCTCAGAAATGATACCTCATCACTTTTGTCATATTCTATTCATTACATGTGAGCCACCATCAGGTCCAGCCTCAGGGAGAAGGGATTTACACAAAGGTTTGAAAACCAGGAGGCAGGACGCCTGGGTGGCTCAGTAGATGAGCATCTGCCTTTGGTTCAGGGCATGATCCCGGGGTCCTGGGATCGAGTCTTGCATTGGGCTCCCCACAGGGAGCCTGCTTCTCCCTCTGCCTGTGTCTCTGCCTTTCTCTGTGTGTCTCTTATGAATAAATAAATAAAATCTTATAAAAAAGAAGGTGACTGAAATTGTATCATACAAATTCACCAAGACTATGACCAAGCTCCTCTTCCCACAGGCAGAGATGCAGGAGAATAAAGATTAAGACAACCACTGTTCTTTCCTAATTAAAACCACCTCAGCATTTACTGTTAGCAACTATTTTAAGAATGCTTTCTCAGGCTAGAGCAGCGATGAGCAAATCCACTTACCCACAAATATAAAACACATCCTCTAACATCAGCTTTAATAATGATGGTGCTATTTCAGTCTCCTTATGCCTTCCTCTGACAGAATTTCAGAGGCAAAGAGGAGTATTATTTATTGATTCCCTTCAAAACTCAATATACATCAAGTAGAGGTCATCGATGATAGATGGTACAAACTGGGCATCTCATCCCTGACGCAAAGAAAACCCTTAAGCTCCTCCAGAACTTTAATTGCCTTAAGGGAAAAGCAAAGAAGGGTGAGAGGAAATCATTATTAATTTAGAGAGAAATTCATGAGCTGGTTTAGGTATAGAGATTAAATAACATTCCATCTCTCTCTACACCTAAGTTTTCATAAAGACACTCATTACACACACAAATACATACGTTACAACGTGTAATAAGTACCAAGAAGGAAAAAGAAAAGTGATAGACAGTAATAGAGAATTGCTTAGTCAAAGAAAGTCTCTCTAAAGAGGTGATATTTAAGTGAAGGAGAAGGTTCCAGACATGCAAAAAAAAAAAAAAAAAGGGAACGTTCTAGATGGAGGGAATAGAGTATTTCTTGACAAGAGGAAGAGCTTGGCATGCTGTAGGAATCAAGAAAGCCACCATGGGGCAGAGAGTGGAATCAAATGAGAACTCACTGGCTATTGTGTGGGAAATGGAGATAGGGCAGGACTAGCAGCAGGGAGATCTGTTATGAGGCTGCTGTAGTCATTTAGGGGAGAGATGATGGTAGCCTGATCCGGTGCACTGTCAAAAGAAACAGAAGTCAGAGGCAAGAAATATTCAGGAAGTAGAAATGACAGGTGAGATTGGATGGGGGTGGTGATAAAGAGGTGGAGAGAGAAAATGAGAGAGAGAGAGAGAGAAATGACTTCTACATGGATGACTTCTGTGTATCTGGATTAACAAGCTGGTGAGCAGTGTACGTCCATGTGACCCATCTCTCTGGCTTTGAGAAAGCAGCTTCCCAGTTGCCTTGAGAAAAATTCTGCAGAACTCAATTCTCACTTTTCATCCTGTCAGCCATGGGTGAAATCCCCCATTAACTGGGAAGTCAGACAGGAAACAGACTAAAACGCCCACAGATAGAGCACTGAGAAGTTATAGAGTATGCATACAATCAAGAAAAGGTCTTCACTGATCATCTATTCCAACCACTTTACTTTAACAGATGAGAAAAGTGTGACTCAGAGCTGTTGAGGAGCCAAGACCAAAGTTAAAGAGCCGGTTAATGGCACAATCAAGACCAGAATCCAGTTCTTCTGACAGTACAAAATATGAATGAAGCAACACGACAAATGGGTACGATGATTACATGTACTTAATAGC